CGGCAAATAATTGAAATTTTTCTAAGTCCAAGGGGCATAACTCTGTCAAAAAGTTATGCTATCGTACCCAAAATAGAACTTGACCTAGATATTCATGTGATATATCTGTATACCAAATTTCATTTCAGTATGTACAACGGTTGCAAAGAAAATGAATGGAAACGGCAAATCATTGAAATTTTTCTAAGTCCAAGGGGCATAACTCTTTCAAAAATGATGCGATTGTACCCAAAACAGAACTCGACCCAGATATTCATGTGATATATCTGTATACCAAATTTCATTTCAGTATGTGCAACGGTTGCAAAGAAAATGAACGGAAACTAAGTGGACCGACAGACAGACGGACCGACAGACAGCAGCAAAGCAATATGCCCTCCCTTCTTCGAAGGGGGCATAACTACACGTAGGCCTGAGAATTATGAACAGTACTGCAAATATTCACTTAATTAAATATCTTTAGAGCTAATTTAATTGATAGTGTGATTTTAAATTTTAGAAAAGACCAACTGTTTAAAATAGTCTATTATTAGAGAAGGAAAATTCCTTCCTTCACTGTACCTAAATATATGTTTGTCATTCAGTATAATTAAGACCCCCCCCCCCCCCCCGGTGCCTTTTCTCCCGAAATAAAATTCTTAGTGAGTATTTTCAGTATTTAACTAATACGTACTTAATGTGTATTGTACCACAATAAAATCAGTCTTAAAACCAACATCAAACAGTCATTAAACAATAGTATTTTAGAATACACTTGTGCCGAGAGTAGTATTTTAAATTGGCAGGGAATATGTTTCAAACTCAATTTAAAACTCAATCCTTCTAAGTATATGTTCCCATTATCTATTTTTTTTTCTGCAGGAATGATGCAAAAAATCATGCAGATCTAGAAATGATAGGGAAAAATATTAAAACTTCTTGGAAATACTAAGTGACTGCCTTCGGAATGTTCGGTGAAACGCGATTTCCACGCCGCCACTGTGTCGAATAAAATCTGATTGACAGGACAAACACGTGGACCGTGTGAACTTGATGACGGAAAATAAAAGCCAATGATTACTGCCAAATGGATTTGTTAATCTAAAAAAAAAATGATTACCTTTACTGCTTGGAATATTTAAGAAAAATAATAAGAGTTTTTATTTAATACAAGAGATATCTGAGAATTGAGGGGGTATCTCTCTCTCTCTCTCTCTCTCTCTCTCTCTCTCTCTCTCTCTCGTACATTTCTCTGTTCAATAAAAACTATGACAGCTCATTACTTCTTTAGTTTTGAAATTTTAATCGATTACAAATAATTTGAATGCCTCTTAATTTCCATCATCTTGCCGAGTATAATCACGGCTGGGAAATGTCTGCATATACATGTAGAAGTTAGCTAAAATAATCATCATAAAAGAATACAAAAGACACATAACTAAGAATATTCTGCATTAGAATTATAAACAAGAGGCCCATGGGCCACATCGCTCACCTAAGCACTGTGGCTAGGAAAAAGTAGAAAATTGGTTTATTATTGAAAAGTTTTAATCCAAAAGAAGTCCCATGACCAATCATGGCTTTACCATTCTTGAGAAGATGATTTTTAAAGAATTTTCCTATATATTTCTATGTAAAACTTTGGTCGGCCATTGTGACCCCGCCCTACCCCCAGAGGACATGATTTGAACAAACTTGAATCTACACTACCTGAGGATGCTTCCATATAAATATGACCAATTATGGCTTTGTTATTCTTGAGAAGAAGATTTCGAAAGAATTTTCCTATATATTTCTATGTAAAACTTTGGTCGGCCATTGTGGCCCCGCCCTACCCCCGGGGGTCATGATTTGAACAAACTTGAATCTACACTACCTGAGGATGCTTCCATATAAATATGATCAATTATGGCTTTGTTATTCTTGAGAAGAAGATTTTTAAAGAATTTTCCTATATATTTCTTTATAAACTTTGGTCGGACATTGTGGCCCCGCCCTACCCCCAGGGGTCATGATTTGAACAAACTTGAATCTACACTACCTGAGGATGCTTCCATATAGATATGATCACTTATGGCTTTGCTATTCTTGAGAAGAAGATTTTTAAAGAATTTTCCTATATATTTCTATGTAAAACTTTGGTCGGCCATTGTGGCCCCGCCCTATCCCCGGGGGTCATGATTTGAACAAACTTGAATCTACACTACCTGAGGATGCTTCCATATAAATATGATCAATTATGGCAAAGTTATTCTTGAGAAGAAGATTTTTAAAGAATTTTCCTATGTATTTCTATGTAAAACTTTGGTCGGCCATTGTGGCCCCGCCCTACCCCCGGGGGTCATGATTTGAACAAACTTGAATCTACACTACCTGAGGATGTTTCCCTATAAGTTTCATCTTTCCTGGCACAGTGGTTCTTGAGAAGAAGATTTTTAAAACATACCACCAAATTTTCATTAATTCCCAATTATCTCCCCTTGAATGAGGACGTGACCCTTTATTTGAAGAAAATTGAATCACCTTCACCCAAGGATGCTTTGTGGTAAGTTTGGTTGAAATTGGCCCAGCGGTTCTTGAGAAGAAGTCGAAAATGTGAAAAGTTTACAACGACGACGACGACGACGATTACGGACAACGACGAGACGGACGCCGGACAAAATGTGATCAGAAAAGCTCACTTGAGCCTTCGGCTCAGGTGAGCTAAAAACAAGGGGTTTTATGCAATACGTTAACAGACAATTGTGAATTTAAAAAAATCCGTTATTTTAGTCTTGGCACGGAAAATCTGTTATTAGCTCACCTGAGCCGAAGGCTCATGTGAGCTTTTCTGATCAAAATTTGTCCTTTGTCTGTCGTCGTCGTCGTCGTCGTTGTTGTTAACTTTTCACATTTTCATCTTCTTCTCAAGAACCACTGGGCCAATTTCAACCAAACTTGGCACAGAGTATCCTTGGGTGAAGGGGATTCAAGTTTGTTCAAATGAAGGGCCACGCCCTTTTCCAAGGGGAGATAATCATGAATTTGTTAAAAATTAATGGCATTTTTAAAAAATCTTCTTCTCCAGAACCGCTGGGCCAGGAAAGATAAAACTCATGTGGAAGCATCCTCAGGTAGTGTTGATTCAAGTTTGTTCAAATCATGACCCCCGGGGCACGGGTGGGGCCAAAATGGCCGACCCAAGTTTTACATAGGAATTTATAGGAAAAATCCTTAAAAATCTTCTTCTCCAGAACCACTGAGCCAGGAAAGATGAAACTCATGTGGAATCATCCTCAGGTAGTGTAGATTCAAGTTTGTTCAAATCATGACCCCCGGGGCAAGGGTGGGGCCAAAATGGCCGACCCAAGTTTTACATAGGGATATATAGGAAAAATCTTTAAAAATCTTCTTCTCCAGAACCACTGGGCCAGGAAAGATGAAACTCATGTGGAATCATCCTCAGTTAGTGTAGATTCAAGTTTGTTCAAATGATGACCCCCGGGGCTAGGGTGGGGCCAAAATGGCCGACCCAAGTTTTACATAGGGATATATAGGGAAACCTTTTAAAATCTTCTTTTCAAGTACTTCAAAGCTATGTTTAGTGATATTTATATGGAATCATCCTCAGGTAGTGTAGATTCAAATGATGAACGCCTGGAGGGGGGGGGGATTTTAAAATCTTCTTTTCAAGCCCGATGTGCTCAGGTGAGCGCTGTGGCCCCTGGGCCTCTTGTTTTAGTCTTGGCACGGAAATATATGTATGGTTGATTCAACCGCGTACAATGTAATTAATTCATTCTATAAGTAGTAGTTTTATCTTCTAAAGTCCACATTATTTTATTAGTGAAAAGATAAGCATATTTACTATATATATATAAATAGATTAATTTTATATTTAAATTACACGCGTTCGGTAACAAATACACATGTTTTACGGCAATTAAAATCGTGTTATAAAACTATCGATCTAAAGCATAGGTGCATATATGTATAGAAAAAAATCTTTTTTTAATTAATTATTTTTTTTATTTATTTATCTACTGTATATTTATATTAAAGCCCCTGAAATTAAAATTATAAAATAATTTCAAAGCAAGGAAAAGATAAGAGGCATTCCGAATAAATCCTTCATTCAGCATTCACCGTTCACTTTGCGCTCGCGTTCGCGCTCCGTTCGCGTTCTGCGTTCACCGTTCACACATCGTTCACCAAGTTGCGTTCAGCATTCGCACATCGTTCACTCACCGTTCACTCTGCGTTCGTTCACCGTTCAGGTGGGAAAGTAGAACGTTTCAGAGACTGTACGTTACTCTTCCCAAGCAAGTTAAGGTGCTCTGATTAAACATAAAAATAAACAATTAACACTTACAATTTCACCAAGCAACACAACATTTTCTCCCCTCACAACAAAAATGCCTCTTGGAATATCTCCATACTTTTTACCAACATGAATTCTTTCAATGGTGCGATGAAGGACTAAATTTGCTGTAAAAATTAAAGACATTACATTGATAAAACAGGATGAAAAATAGCGAAGTGTATGAGTTTCATGACTATTTGATACATGTAGAATGTCACCTATCCCTAGAAAAAAAAATCAGTACTTTAAACTATTTGAAGAACAAGTGCACAAATGTGTCTTTACACTATTACATTTAGACAAAATAATTAATCATCAATATTCTTTCAAAAATAAATAAAAGAAAGTCAATAATTTTTATGACAGAACTGAATAAGGTTTTGACTTACCAAATTGGTCAATACTTCTGAGATAACCAATCAGTGTTCTTCCATCTCTTAGTACAACAAGAAGTTTCTCTACACAAAAATAAAAGTTAATAATATTAAAGACATTTAGTTTGTCAATAAGCTTTTATGTTTAATTTCTTTTTACCAGTACTTGAGGACTAAGTTATATCTTAGGAAAGAACTTTTTCTAAAGTTCATTACTTATCTGTTTAACTTATCTTGTCTTAGCATATTCCCAAGTTATGTCATAATATTAAGAAAAAATAATCTATGTCTTAGGAAGAACCTACATATACAACCACAATATTTAGTATATTGTGGTTGTATATGCAAGAAATCTTATGGAGAAAGAGAATGTGTTTAGGGAGAGAAATTAAAATCCAATGGACTACTCCTATGTGCATGATTGTGTTCTCAGCATGTTAAAACTGCTTTACTTTGTATGGAATTACTAGGATTTCAAGAATTGACAAAAATGTGTCAAAATTAGTCAAAGGTATATAAAAATGTTTGTTACCAAAACTGGAACTACAAATACATATGTACTTAATGTTGGTTTTATCACGAATTCGCGATTTTGGATTTCCTTATGTTACTGGTACACATGTTGGAATAATTCCCTACCATTTGAAGAGCAAGCTTTGTGAACAGAAAAAAAGCATGCTTTAAATAATAAATATGGTGTCTGTGTTGCAAAACAATGAATATGATTGGACCCATTATCATATGATATATCCATGATGTATGTTTTTATCTACATGTATAGTGCAGAATTTAAAATTTCATTTCCTAACTGACGAGCTGAGAAGTATAGTGGGGAAAAACAAATGTATAACATGTAGGATAATGTGTAAAAATTTTCATCCAATAAACCCCCCATTTGTCCACAAGGCCCTCTACAATATGCCAACATATTTTAACGAGAGGCCCATCTGCCACATCACTCACCTGAGCATATTGGCTAGGAAAAAAAAGCAAAAATCAGTTCAGTATTGAAAAGTTTACAAAGGGGGGACATGAATTTTAAACTACCTGATGATGCTTCCATATCAATATGAAAATGGCTTTGCTTTTTTTGAGCAAAAGACTTTTTTCTATTTATTCATTTGAAAACATTTGACCCCTATTGTGGCCTAGACCTATCCTCGGAGTCGGGAACCCTTATTTGAACAAATTTGATTTTATACTACCTGAGGATGCCTCCTGTCCACATCAATATGACTAATCATGGCTTTTTTGTTCATGAAAAAAAGATTTTTTTTCCTATATAAAACTTTGATCCCCCATTATACCCCCCAGGGTCATGACTTGAACAAACCTGCCCTACCCCTGGGGGTCATGATTTGAACAAACATGAATCGATCTACACTACCTCAGGATGCTTCCATATATGTTTCATCCTTTATGGGCCAGTGGTTCTTGAGAAGAAGATTTTTAAAAGATGCCATTATTTTCTCACTAATTCTTAAGGACAAATGATACAAAGTTACAAACTAATTTTTCTTTGAAAAAGATTTAATATCATGTCACAAGTTTAGAAAAGCAGATGGTAATCTTAGAATTTTTTCTCCTGAGAACTGGAAAATGAAATAGACTTGGAAAATATTAGTAATATTTCAATAAAAAAAATATATATATATAAACAAATCATACTCAGTAAAGGTTTACAGGTGAAAACAAATTTCAGAATATGATACTTTGGTGCTAAAATTGTAATATAAACTTTAACCAGGTGAATTTTGTGAGGAAGAACAAAATGACAAAAAGTTAGCAATATCACATAGGCTGATTTTTACCATTTAGCCTTTCCTAATAAAATTGGCTTGTTACATTTTTCTTAAGTTTATATTACACTTTTAGCACCATGCTAACATATTCTGAAATTTGTTTTCACCTGTAAACCTTTACTGAATGTGATTTGTCTACATTTGTTTTTTTATTGAAATATTACTAATATTTTCGGAGTCTTTATCATTTTCCAGTTCCTAGGAGAAAAAATTCTAAGAACCATCCACTTTTCTAAACTTGTGACATGATATTAAATCTTTTTCAAAGAAAAAATTTGTTTGTATCATCTGTCCTTAATTATCTCTCTTTGAAAAAGGGCATGGTCCTTCATTTGAACAAAACTGAATGGGTTCATATGGGTTCACCTAAGGATACTTCATTGCAAGTTTGGTTGAAATTGGCTCTGGGGTTTTTAAGAATTCAAAAATGTGAAAAGTTTACAGACAGATGCCGGACGAAATGTGATTGAAGGCTCAGGTGAACTAAAAATGAAAATGAACAGAGATGTCAATTGGCTGAGGTGGCATTAGGCCGCGGTCACCAGGGCCCTCTACAATATGCCTATTAAGGTATTAAAGACAATTTTTCCCCCATATAATTTTTTTTATCCTTTTCTTAAATTGTAAATATATACAAATTATTTTTAAGATTTTAATTAGCATCATGTTGTATTTTTTTTTTTTTTTTACAATTTTTATATCAAACTGCCGTAATAAGCGCGTTTGGATTATTTTTAATCTGAAATGTGTATTGTAGAGGCTCCAACTGGAAAATTCAAGCATAAGGCCTTAGAAGAAGATCTGAGGCGATGAGTCAATAAAAAACGGGAAAATCTAACAAAAACAGAGGTTGAAGCGAGGAAGGGGTCCAAAATGGCGTCCTCCCTTGAGTTGTTTTATTATAACTGTAAATTATTTTTTAAAAAATAAATAATTATTACACGCCGGGAGCCAGCCCCCTGTGCCCCCCCCCCCCAACACTGTATGCTGTCAGAATGAATATTTGTCAGTCGTTAGCAATCTTTTCAACCAATAATGTATGATAACATACTATCTATTTCTTCTACTAAGCTAGCTGTTCCTGGAAGGTAATTCATAGCAATATACAACCACTTCTCGGGAAATCATGCTATTCGCAACAAAAACCAGGGTACTCGGTTCGCATTAACTCCTACTTAGTATATTCGATATTTATTTCTAAAACAATAAAATCTTTTAAAGATAAAAATAATATCTTGATTTCTAAAGAAAGCAAAAGATCATCTTATTTCGTATAAATATGCATAATGTTTGTATAATGTAACCTACCTGTACAAACGTAATAAAAGTACGAACTACCATATTAGTTAAAATTGTGACGTATTTCCGGCACTAATGTCAACAACCGAAATAGGCCAAGTGTGTAAGCAGGTACTACACGCGAACCAACATGTCCTGCAAAATAGAGTGCGTTCAGAGAGAACATCTATCAAGAATTAAACAAAGACTTATCCGTCAAACATTGAATGGGATTAATATCTTTTGGAAATGGCTGGAAATTCCTTAAATGGTTAATCGATATCTGCATGGGTGATGGCTGCCAGTAATTCTAGTTCATTGGAAAATGGAACATCAACTGGGACGAATTCTCCGGCGGAGGAAAATACAGCAAAACTGGTGTTTTTGGTTATTTTCATGGTGGTGGGATTATTGGGCAATGTTGTCCTTATTGTAACAATTGGATGCAGTAAAAGACAGCGCACGTCCGCTTTACAGTTATTCTCTCTCAATTTGGCATTTGTGAATTGCTTAGACTGTCTATTTAACATGTCTTTTGCCTTGATAACTGCGATTGGATCAGTTTCATGGAGCAGTGAGGATTTTCTATGTCGTCTGAATTCCTTTTTTATGAACCTCACATGGGTTGAAACCATCCTTGGGTTAATGTTTATGACACTGGATCGGATGATGGCCACTCGACATAGTGATAAATACGAACAATTTCAGAGTATACCACGATTCATCATTATGCTTATATACACTTGGGTACATTCTGTTGCTTTTAGTGTCCCTTTGTTGTTTGGTTCAATAGAAGTTGATGTTCATGAAAATGTAAAACTCTGCATGATGGCAAACAATGTCTCAATCATTTATACTCTTATCATAACACTAGTGTGCTTTTTTATTCCCATCAGTGTATCAATTATTTTCTTTTCCCTTGCAATGAAAGTTACATGTTCTGAGCATGCGAAAAGAAGCCAAAACCAATATTCCAAGGAAGAGTCAGAACCCAAGTTACTAAGGGAACTTAAAGGAGCAAAATACACCGGAATTCTGTTGTTCCTGTGGATAATTTTGGAAGTACCTTATATAAGTTCACAGTTAATTCGAATGTTCCGTTATAGTGAAGATTTAAACATTAACAGTAGTTTTGAAATACCAAACAGTTACACTGTTGATGTTAGTTTGGTATGGTTCAGATTTGGTTTTGTTATCATCTTGCCAATTTTGGCACTTTTTTGCAAAAAAGAACTTTGGCAACTATTTAAAAATATAATTTTATGTAGAAAATCTAATCTAATTGTGGACTTGGAGATTAAAGTTGAGAACCCTCCACGTCATGAAAAGTTAGAACTGAAATACACTGATGATAAGAAACAAGGAAAAGAGGAGAAGATGAAAGAATCATTTGTACATAACTCAGGTTTCCAAGTTCCTGTTCTCTTTGCTACTTCTCAAGGTGTTCATATCCAGACTGGTTCAGATGAAGAATCAGATTATGATGATATTAAGATCCGTGGCCGAAAGTGTGATGTTCTGGGATCACAGGGAAATCTCCAAGGATTTGAGTATGAAACAAGTGATTATGACTCTAGTAATGAGCTGGATCCTTTTTCAATTTCTCACCCAATCTCTGCAAAGAAGTCGGAAGAGATTCATCCAAGTCTGCAGAAGCGCAGCAGTTCTCAACCAGAGGTCCGGAAAACAACTAAATCCGAGAAAAGAAACGTAACAGTCTCCAAAGTGTCCATTGCTTCTACAGCAGCTGCTGACTCAGGACTTGAAATGAGCTGCAACATTGCAACAAAATGTCCAAGAAACAAAGACCAAGACTTAGCAACATGTTCTAAAAATCTACAATCAGTAAATGATACTGACAGCAGTGAAAATGGTAAAATAAAACCATTTAATGATACAAACTTTGAAACTTTCTCAGTTTTACATGTAAATCAACAAAATCCTCAAGAAACACTCGATGAAGGATTGCTCAAGAATACTGATAATGTAGAAGTCAACGATTCATACCTGAAAGATTGCTCAAGAATAGAAAACAGGAACCTGACAATGAAAAAACCTTTTAAGCTAGAACCACTTCAGAGTCCACTGAAACAGAAAGAGAATTTAAAAGAAAAACAATCAGGTGAATGTGGGCCAGAGATTGGAAGACATCAGTTATATCTCAAGTTACCAAGAGTGGAATCTGAAAAGAAGGAAAGTCAAGAAACCGTGAAAGAGGATTCTGGGAGCAGTCTGGAGGTCATGACCCCAAGTGGCTGTAAGCTGGTGGATGTTGCAGACGATTTTCGAAAAGTTCTTAATGAGAATCAATGAAAGCATAATTGGGGTGAGATAATTTGTTTTATAATCTGGATTACTCTGGAAGACATAACTTCTTTGAATAAGTCTGTTAGTATATTTTGTACAAGACTACAGGTTGTAAGTTTGTTTTATAGCTTGTTCATTTATCATGCACAGGTTGTACAGGATGTAAGCTTGCACCAAGGATATTTTGACATTTTTAAGCTCATCTGAGCTGAAGGCTCAAGTGGGCTTTTGTGATAAGATTTGTATTCCACATCTGTCTGTCCATCTCTTTGTAAAATTTGCACATTTTTATTTCTTAATGAAGGATATGGAGATAACGAACAGTTTTCAATATCAAAGTACATAAAACATTATAAAATAGGAGCTAGCAGAGCAATGACGGACCTCCGAAATATCAGAGGTGGGATCAGGTGCCATGGAGGAGTGAGCATCCCCTGCTGACTGGTCACACCCACTGTGTGCTCCTTGTCATGATCAGGAATTAACGGGAAAATCCTTCATCAATTCAGTGTATAAATAATGGACTAACAATTAGTATGAAAAACATCAGTCAGCATTTGACTCAATGATAAATTGTATTTGCTGACAAGGTCATTGTATTAACCATAGATGATTGATTGTTATTGTTTAACGCCGGATCGGCAATATTTCAGCCATATTTCGGCGGTGAAATTGTTGCCTTTTTACACTTGCAAAACAATTCTGCCTGCATATATATACATGGTCTTAATTTGTCCAGTCGCAGTTCTTTTGAAGAAATTGTGCTTTATTCTTTGAATTCGCTACATTTTAAATTCGCCCAACTCAGGGTAGGGGGAAAGGTGCAAAAATAAAATGGGGATGAAAATTTCCCTGTAGGTTGTATGGATGCATCCCCAGGTAACGTAGATTAAAGTATGTAGATTCAAGATTTAAATCTTGACCTCCAGGGAGAAGGGTGGTGTGGCTACACTTAACAATCAAAGTAATACATTGGAAATATATGGGACAGTATTACTGTAGATTCCTTATTTTTTGTGAGTTCTTATTATGGCGAATGGGCTCTTCAACATCAAATCGCAAGAATTATAATTTGCAATCGACAGTTGATCAAGAAATTTTACGTAAATTAATTTCAGCACCAAAAGATAAAGACCAGTAATTTAATTTGTGTGTGGTGCTTCTCGCGAAATTTGGAAATAATTAAGTTCATGCATAAATTTAAGAAACTACAGTAACATTTTCTTTTAATGATAATGTTTCTTAATTATCGAGTTAATGTTAAAAAATGCACATATCCTAATTCTTTGTTGTACAGTGAAGCATTGGGAAAGCCAATTTAGATATGGCCTAATTCTACAAGGAAATGAATTCAGTAAAAGTACATACATGTATGATGAAAAAGTTGAAACAACTAAATTCCTTTCATTTTAAAGATATCTAAAAACAGAGTGCTGTTTTTGGAGTGGGATCAACATCCCCATTTAGCCCCTCTCTTGAATTTAAACCATATCTGTAGTTCATGCAGTTTGTACATTTATGTATGAACAGCAGGTTTAAGGGGGATGTACAAGCCAATTGGATCTTGACTGGTGTGAAATAAGAAATGCCAAGAATGCGCTTAATACTCGTCTTAACTAGCCCAAAGTTACTCAAAGTGTTAATGCACTAGTTACCTACTGTTAGAGACCAAAATTAGTAAATAATTAAGTTTACTTTGTTTTAATTAGGAGGAAATTAATCATGGCAGAACTGCGCAGCTACAGCATTCACGAGATGAAAAATGCATTGAAAATGGTGTTAGTTTGATTCATTGATAATATGGCTACAACCATTTGTTTCGCTTTTTTCTTGTCATTATCTAAATTTCTTGAAAATTTGATTTTTCATATGTGTGTCTTCCTTTAGGCCATGTGTTTATTTCGTCCGCCATTCCTCTGTCACATAGAGTTCGAATAACATTGATTTTAGAATAAATGCGACCATAATAACATCAAGACAAGAAATTACTAAGTAATAATCATTAGGTAATATTACTTACTACCTTTATTTGTTTCATCGCTTCGTCTGATTAATGAAAAAACGCGATTTTAACCCCACTCTAGCAAATCGGGAAAAACTGTTCTGTTCATAGCTCGAGTTTCCTAGCTAATATTATTACACCGAGCACGTGTTTGACATGTGCATATATCTGCTGTGAATAGATGCGTTTATTACCATGATTATATTTAATTTTTCGTGGAACAAGTCTTGATAATTTGTTGGTTCCTTTAAAACTCAAGAAAAAAGCTAAAAAATGCCCTAAACATATGAGTTTACGTCGGGTCTTTTTTCTGTGGCGAAAGAAGTTATTTTGAAATGGGGCACTGCAAGGAGGATGCTTAGCATTTAATTTGAAAATGTTAAACAATATGCGGTGCCTGAAAAACAAATTGCAATTACATGTCTTACATTCGAAAAGTTGGTTCATATGTCTATTTTGTTTAGCAGTTGGATAGAAAAAATAGGCAGTTTAAGTATTTCCTTCAGGCACCTCACATAAATAGCTTGAGTGTTTGCAATGACCAACACATTGTATGGACAAATGTTTGGACATAAAAACGCATCATGTCTCATTATGTTGACTACGTTGTAAGCTCTCGCTCATTGAACATATGAAGCTTGATAAAATATATTGAGTTGTTTCTTTGAAATTTAGAAGCAATCACAATGTTTGCAAACAAAGGTCCATTGCATATGCTATGTCTATCATCGCAAAAAAAATGAGAGACTACCCCCCCCCCCTTTCCGAAAATCCTATGTTCTTTTTTCAAAATAGTGCCAGAGATTAAAACAATTTGCATCACAAAGTATGTGATGGAACATGTACTAGCCTTATAAGACCATTCGTTATAAAAAATATTTGGTTGCCATCTCTCCCGATCTAGAAATGGTCCGATTCAATTTTATTTTACATCCAATTACAGGATATTTTTTTCTTCCGTTAACAAATATGTTTACATTTTTAAAAAAAATTTTTTCTCACCATAAATACGAACCCAATAATTTTCCCTGAGTTGGGAGGTCTACCAAACGTCATTTTAAAGATGGTATAAAATATTTAATTATCTTGATTTTTTTCTCTACTCTGTAAAATTGTAATTTTGACAAAATGGGCAAATAAAGAAAAAATATTATTTATTAAATCTCCTTACCCACTCTGAATGATTCTATTCCTTTTCAAATTTTGCTCCGCTGTAATGAAAACTGTAAATGTTTATTTGACAGAGTACTAGTATTTGGGGGGGGGGTGATCAAAAGTAAACTATATAATAGGTATTTGATAGTTATATTATTGCTGAAATATTCAAGTATTTTTCAAAGTGTAAATTGGAGACCTTTGATAGCATATTACTTAATTAAAAAAAAACCCTTTTCAAACTTGCTTTCACCGGGCAACATAACAAGTATCATATTCAACCACCTGCCTTCCTTCACTAAAACGATCTATCCAATCATTGATTGAATTACATGTATTAGGAAGTCATTTGTCTTAATAAACCATGAACAAATTCTTATACGTTACTTCAAAGGCATTTTTAAGATATACCTTAAATATTTTAGTCGTTTGTTGAATGAGTTCCACTGAGACAACCATTTTTTGTCACAAGTACCTGCATAATGACTTCATTTTCACATTGTGAGCAAAACTTTATTCACCATATGCTATTTATAGAACTTGAGTGTGCACCCAGTTTGTTTCTAATCTAAATTGTGGTTTTGTAGGTATAGAGATAGTTCGAGAACTTTTTGATTGCCCCTCGTACTAGTAGATACTAACACAAGGTTTTTCTTATCAATTTTATGTGTTTATTAACTTTGTGTTTCATTGGTGATAATTAAACTTTTGATAGATATTATAAGTTATCTGCGGCAAACTTAATTTTAAACTTTGATGGTGCTCATTTTTCCTTACCTGGAATCAAAGAGTTTATTTCAATACGTACACTATTTAACAACTGTTAGATAATAATACTAAATAAATTGCTTCAAGTCACACTATAACACAATTCCTCTTTTAAAAGTGTTCATATGCATTTGAAATATTTTGCAACTGTAATTCTCTTCTACATTTAAAGATTGTTATGTCCCTCCATATTAAGAAGAGGTCTGGAAAACAAAATTCTGTGCTAAAAATAGATCACGTGCTGCTATCAATGAACTACTTTCAGGGTTCTTTACACTCTTTTTGAAGACAACGATACCTTGTTTTGAACTTAAAATTATCATTTAAAAGTGCAAAATTTAGACATTTTCTCAACAAATGGTTGTAGAGAGAAGATTAATGCACACTTTGCGTATTTTTTTGGATTTTTTAAGGCTCTGCTGAATTCTGTAGCTGCGCAGTTCTAAGGAGCATATCAAAAGCATTTTTCTGCAAAAGTAGAGATTATATATGCACAACATGCATTCAGTTATGCATATTTATTGTATTTTTATCATAAGGGTTTAAAATTTGATCAAAATATAATGTACTTTAGCCATTTGAAGAAATGTTTACATTTTGTTCTCACTGCACTAAAGGTGGCCGTACATCCCCCTTAATATGGTTTATCCCACATATAGCAACATATTGCAAGAAATTGGCTTATTCATAATGCATGATGGCCAGGGTTATTAAAGGGCACAATGTTAATAAGGTTCAGTTAATATGGCAAACACCTTTAGATATCAAAGGCTATCCATGATTTCAAAATCAATACCTGCCAGTCAATTAATGAAATATTATAAGAGCCAGACCACAATACTGTAATTAATATATATTCCTGAAGAAAATTAAGGAATGTACGAATTATGTACAACTCAAAATCAATATACTTGTTCCAGTGTATATCAGTGGCGGATTTAAGAGGGTTGCACACCTGCCCCCCCCCCCCCCCCCAAATTGTCAAAGTTAGCGTAAAACATAGTTTCCTCAAGAAAATGTATAAAATGTCTACTCGGTAGACCTCCTTTTTACCCTAAAAAAATCTTTAGAATCCAGGAGTCTCCAGGGGCCCCCCACCAAGGCTTTGCCCTGGACCCACTTGGGGCCTCAATGCAGCCCCCAGACCCCCTGCCTACTTCTTGCGTCCCCCCCAACATCAATTCCTGGATCCACACCTGTATAACAGTATATATACATGTACCCATCAAATGAACCAGATTGGAAATTTCTTTAATTGGTTTCTAAGTTTGAAGATTGTTAATCTGAGTGGGTGAGAAAAGCATATTGCACAGCTTTATCAAATGACATGTAGCTACCTTGTCAAATAATGAGGCATTGGTATATTGTGTCAACTTGTGTATATAGTTATCAGGTGATAATTAATGAATTCAGCACTTGGGAGAATTTTGAATGTTAATAGAGATTTATAATATGAGCATTGAGGTTATTACTGGGTAAGCAATATATATTGCATGTATATAGGCAATGATATAGAGTCACGTTAATACTTAATTGCCTCAGAAACATTTATGTACACCATTTCTTTTCTTATTTCATTATTACTAGCTACTTATATGCAATATATTCAATTTTTACCAATTTGAAAAAAAAACATTTAAACAAAGAAGTCTGATATCTAAAACAAGAAGCCCATGGGCCTTATAGGTCACCTGAGCATCATGTAACAACTTTCCAACCATTACATTTAGTTCATATGTTTTAAATCAGAGGCCAATTGCCATTCACAATTTTGAAAGAGGCACCAATGCTCATAATAACAATATACTTAGTAAGCTTAGTCTGGTTACTAAATACCCAAAGGCAGAGGAGGAGAACAAATAATTCATTTCAACTAATCAGTAATATTTAGCAATAATCAGTGCATGAAGTGCCCCCACCCCACAGGAACCCCTGACCTTGGATCCAGAATTTCACAATTTTGGAAATTGCACTGTGGCAATTAACGCACTTTGAAAAAATTAAGCACTTTGAAAAAAATTTTCAAAATGCGTTAAAATTGGGACAAAATCAACGCACTTTGAAAAAAAATTTCAAAGTACGTTAAATTTTGGACATACTCAACGCACTTTGAAAAAATTTTTCAATGTGCGTTAAGAGTTTACATCAATATATTTTACCATGGAGACACTTAACGCACTTTGAAAAAAAATATGTGAAAACAAAAGTTCTGGAGTTAGATGTTAATAATGGAAAAATTCTATTTCATTGTTATTTATCTTTCAAAAGAACTCATAAATTGATTTACTCCCATCGAGAACAGGAGAAGACGGATAGAAGAACTCTCAGCCTATAACTCTTTCTCTTCAATGCACAGGCATCGGTAACAAATAAAATGGGGAGGGGAGTAATAAACCGAAAAAAGGGTAAGCCACATTTTCAATGCCTATATAATGTATATCTTTCCAAAATAAGTGGGGCTAAGCCCCCTTCCCCTTGCCCTTCACCCAGTTTCGATGCATATGCTATACCTAAACAATGGATATGTATTTATATTACCGGTGTGGCGTTGAAAATTATCAGTAATTGAATTTAACTTAAAACAGATGAAAACTAGAAATGTTTAAGTACAGTAAAAGTATGAAAAAGAATTTTCATAATCTTGAAAAATCATTTCCCCTTTTTCTTAAGATTAATGCTATGCTTTAAGTCGTTCACTTTTAGCCCCCTACCTGCACACACACACATTTACTTATTACAGACTAGGACATTTAAAAAGAAATGAAATAATGATATTAAACAATCATCTCTCTATATTTTTTTTTTATAAACAATCATCTCTCTATATTTTTTTCTAAAAGACCCATTTTCCTTTTATAATATTTTTAAAAACCTAAAAATATTTAAAACGTCAATATTTCAGGTCCTGAAGTGACCTTATCACCAAAAAGTTATCCAACCAGGGTCAATTATTTATCATACCGATTATTTGTAAGCATATTGATTAAGACATTTTTTCAAAGTGCGTTAATATGGTCGATATTAACATACTTTGAAAAGAAATAAAATTTTTTCAAAGTGCGTTAACTTGGTCCCAAATTTAACGCACTTTGAAAAAAAATTTTCATAGTGCGTAATTTTTCAAAGTGCGTTGTAACATGCATTGCACCCTTGCTCATCATAATTGTTTGACTAATACTAAGATTTCAAAGCATTCCTTTATTTTCGGTATATAATTAGAGCCCCCCCTCCACTATGGTACCCCTGTCCCAGGGGCCATAAAATGCATAATTCTGGAAGGATTGCTGCTCATCTTAGGCTATTAAGGTATTTTACCTGCTTAATTCCCAGGAGCAAAGAAGAAAATTTTCAAAGAATTAATGCATTTTCACTATATAATTTAGATAGCTGCACCCTAACACCAGAACCTCTGACCCTGAGGCCATGAAATTCACAATTTTTTGGAAGAGGCTCTTTTACTCATCATAACTATACATTAAGTTTTTTTTTTATTTAATGCCCAGGAGCAGAAAAGAAGATTTTCAAAGAAATAATCACTATGCACTCTATATAGCTTGATTCGCTCTGTCACTAGAACTCGCGTACTTGACCCTGGGGCCATGAATTTCACAATTTTGGTAGAGGACTCAATTCTTATTACAATCAAACCATGCAAAAATTTGACTGCTTGATATCCAGGAGTAAAGAGGAAGAAATTTAAGGAATGCATCAGTTTTAGTGGTTTTGGCCCCATCCCTCAGGCCCAGGGGGGAGGGGGCGGGGGGCAAAGACCATGAAATTCACAATTTTTGTTCCTTTTAACCCGTATATATAACATATATGTAATAATATATAACCCATATAAATAGATGCTTTATGCAAAAATTGCTTGAGCGGTTGCAGAGAAGAAACTGAAAATGTTCAAATGTTAACTTACAATGAACAGTGCGATGATGGAGGAAAACACGAAGGTCCCCTGAGTTTACTCGGGTGACCAAATAAAATTTACATATTAAATGAATAAAAGAAATATACGTTATATGTATACAATCACTTAGAACTCTTATTTCTTTGGTATTTTGTGGTTGCTAAACTGTGTTTATTAAACTTTTTTTTTAAATTTGAAGACTTGAAGACAATGAATTATTTTTTATTTTATAAGATATAATAATAACAATAAGCACATTCAATATTCTTGTTTCATTAAATGCATTCTTGAATGAATAAAATGTCAGCTATAAGTGTTTAATACTATGATCTAGTATCTTATCTCCCGGGTGTCGGGTTTGCCTGTTCTGTAATTTATAATATATCTATATTTTATAGAAGAAATTTCTGCATTGTGAAATCACATATTTTTTGTTCTGAATTATGCACACATTCATGACACAGCGAGTTCACATTTAAAGTATGACACTGCCATTTAAATTAATGAGCTGTGAAGGTTATATTAAAACACATATAAACCTACTGAATATTGACTCGGATTGATTCCATGAATTTGTTGTAAAATGTGTCTGTCAAAGAAACTGCAACCAAATCTCCAAAGCTTATATCAAGTGACAGTTATTTCTATTATTAGATGTAATGTTTAGATATATCACTTTTAACTAAATCTGAGATAATGAACATTAATTATTCTAATGACATCAAGTGCAGTATAGAACAACAACTTTTTTGCAGAAATTTTGCAAGTATTGTTTCTTTTTTATGTTTACATTTTTAAAAAATTGCATTATTATTTCTCTCCAGGTTTTGATATTTTCTCTAATTTTTCTTTTCAGGTGTTATTAGTTGGCAGAGACAATAAATCCCAAATGAGTGCTAGAATTGAAGTGTTATAACTGCCTTATCATCACAACCACAACAGCTAGAGGCTGGGGTTAGAGACCTGTACTAGGCATAATGTCATCTCATCTTTATTTTCGACTCAACTGCTGCTGAACGTTATTTCTCCACTGGAATGAGGTTGGAGTACAAATTTCATCCCCCTACCTGTGATCTATTTTGATTAAGAAAAGGAGGAATAACTGCTTTGTTTTATATAGCAGTGTCTAAGATAATTAGGTTAATGTATTGGGTATCCGTCCATGATACTAGACCTGGTGCAATAGTATACATGTATTTATATATTTTTCATATTTTTGACTCATTATCCTCACGATGACTGTGATAGATGAGACTAATTAATTAATTTGTGTAGTTATTGTGACATATCATTTTGTAATAGAAATAATAATGATTGATGTTTAACTGAAAAAGTTTTTTTTTTTTTTCAATTATATGATAATTAGAGAAAATTCATTTTTTTTCTCTTTTTTGACAAAAGGATCATGGCTGCAGGCACTATAAATCCTGTACATTTTGTTTGTTATATGTTTTTTGTAATTTTTTATGTTTTTAGTTTTTTATGTTTTTTGTATAGATATCGATTGTACAGAAGAGCACAAAGCCATGAGTAAGCACAGCTCAACGCACTTTTTAAACTTGCATGGTTTTTCGCACAAATTAAGGTCACATTTTCTTGCATTAAAACTTTAAATTAACAAGCCTGAGTACAAGACATAACCCTTATATTATTATATATTTTAATATGTTGAAGGTGCATATTCTCTAAAATCATTATATCTTAAGTTTTAAAACTCCATTTTTTAAAAAGGTAATTTGTTTATAAATTGCATGATGTTACATGTGTATGATTCTACCATAGGTATTTGTAGATTAATTAATCGAGTTTTCTTTGATACTGTTTTAATAGTTGAAATGTTCATATTGACTTCTTACAGATGGGTTTTTTTCTCAGGACTTTGCACATTTTCCATACTTGTCTTGGGTTTGTCGAAATACAGCACCGAAAAATGACAAAACGGCATATAGAAATCATGTAAGATAGGATAATAAAGTATTGTTTATCTTTCAACCTAGTATAGTGTTAGTATTGAAAGGAAAATTCTTTTATATTTATGGTCTGAAACTTTGACTTTTTGCGTTGGAAGGTATCTTTCATCTTGCTAGAATTCAGAAAGTTAACCTGAAAAAATTTCTTCTTTTTAACATGGAAAGAAGTCAAACAGATGAGAAATACTTCTATCATCTTGCCACTTAGTGTCATATTCAGGTACAGAAAATACAGAAGTTACATGAACTGCACTGTTTCTGTATTAAGCTTGGGCAAATGTATGCTTTAAAATGAATGGATACAAAAACGGCTGCAATTGATGAAAAACCATGAAAAAAAACATTTGGGAACTGCCATATTCCATCATCCAAGAGTATATAAAAATCTTACCAATTATTATGTTTGCATTCTGTTTAAAATAATTGAATAAGATCAAAATTAAGTTATAAATTACTTTTAGAATATATTTTGTTGTCACGTTACACAATTTTGCATTATACGAATGTGACCTTAATTTGTTGGAAAAAAAAATGTGAGTGTAAAAACTGCGTTGAGCTGTATAGATACAGGTTTGTTCAAATCATGACACTCAATTGGGATAAGGTCAGGCTATAATAGGAGATCAAATTTTTATATTGAAATTTAGTATGTAGATAATTCTTCTTTTAGATATATTAAAGCATTGGCAGGTAGTTTTGAATCAAGTTTGTTCAGATCAGGATCGATCCTCAAGTTGAGGTTACAATAATTAAAAAGATTAATATTTTATAGGAGAATCAAAGGAAAAAAAATATCTCCAAGAGAAGCAATATCATACTGAAATAGATTATAAAGCAAAACATTCATATGTTATATGTATGATATATAATTATACTTTAAAACTTATGGGCCTTTGAGGTTTGGGGTCAAGGCAAAGTCAGCAATTCAAATATACATAATGTATATTGTACAGGAAAACAGCATGGCCATGTTAAATTGTCAATCATATTGATACTGATACATTCAAAATTGTTGGTTTATTATCTTTTGTTAAATTATAACTTTCTTATTGGGCTAGACGTTGGTCCAATTTATTGGTACAAATTGAAATTAAAAAGGAGTTTTAAAAAGCTGCTGCTGAAGAACAGCAGAACCAAACTGATGTAGGTGAGCTGTGTTACCCATAAGCCTCTTGATGTACATCTCTTGGTATTTTGCTGTGTACTACTATGTTGTTTGTTGCACCACAAACTGTCTCAGTATTGACTAGATGAAATCTTCATATTCAAACTTGTGTTTACTCCATGTGCATACAATATTTTGATATATGTAATCTTAATATTGCATTGCCCTCAGTTGGAAGTCAACTTTGTTTTACCCATTACAGTGACATGTACATACATTCGTCAATGTCAAAAATTTTGCTTTTTTGTACCATGCAGCCACTCCATTCTTCATTGTACTCTATAAGTCTAATTCTATTAGTTTGTCCAATTTCATTTCAATTTTCATGAACTGAATTTAATTCACATAAAAAAACAGCTAGAATAAGCTACTTTTGCTGTGTGTGTATGTGAATATTGAGATTAGATTTTACATATTACATTGTATTGTTAATATCACAGGAAAATCCTGTATCAAGATTTGCTTTAAGTAGTTTGATGAAACATTTATATATGTGTGTGGTATATTATATATATTGTGGCTGGATCCACATTAACCTCTGAAGTATTGTTTGTTCAGGGTGAGCTTTTCATGAAAATAAAGCAAAACTTTACATCTCATTGGTAGGACTGACTGTCCATCCAAAAATGAATTTAATGATCATATTACAATGCTTCATGCCATCATGTTTTTAGAATCACACAAGTGATTCAGGATAAATATACAGGCATGATGCAATGTTGTTCATATACTTAACTAATTATAGAAAATAAATTAATATATCTAATTGTTTATCTAATAAATGGCCACAAATTATTCATACAAGTTTCATTTTTTGAAAGAAAGAATTTTTTTTCAAGGAGATTTTAATATTACATGTAAATGCTCCTTGAACCCTTTATGGCTAGGGTATGGACATAATATTGGTATCTTTTTTTTTTCATTGGAACATAGACGGAAAAACCCAGTCTTCTTTGAATGTTAACAAAAAAAATAAAATAATAATTACTTGGATAATTTGTGACGCACAGACTTTTTTAAAATTTATTTATATTTAGGGGGAAAAAGCTCAACGTTCAGTATTATTAATTTATTACAATTTTTTCACTTTACTTTTTCCTGTATCTGATTATATGTTCAAATATCATAGTTATTTTACTTTTATTTAATTAACGGTTTATTCCCTGAACGTCGACTACCTATATAAACAGTATAATTATCACACTCAATTAAGAGGCTCTCCGAGGGGCACAGGTAGCGTTTACCTGTTACCTGTGTTATCTTGATTTAACAGTCAAATCAGATAAATTTATTTTTCTGATAAAGAATATGCATCATAACACGATTTGTTTGATTAAATAACTATATTTCAAGACACTAAACAAGTGTTTTTCATGTGAATATTTTTTTTTCTTTACATGTCATTACAAGCACTATGCACAATATATGTGAAGTGATAACAAATTTATTATTTGCAAATATTTAATTTTTAAAATACATGAAACAATTTGAGCACTCTTCATTAACATCACATTTTACAAACTATCCAATATGCTTTGTGGCAACGCACTTCGAAAAAATTACGCACTTTGAAAAAAATTTTCAAAGTGCGTGAAAATTGGGACAATATCAACGCACTTTGAAAAATTTTTTCAAAGTGCGTTAAATTTGGGACCAGCTCAACGCACTTTGAATTTTTTTTCAAAGTGCGTTAAGATTCTACATCAATATATTTTACCATGGAGACACTTAACGCACTTTGAAAAAAAATAACATTTTAGTCATGGAAAGATTTTATTTGTTATTTTACTTATTTATCTTTCAAAAAACTAAGCCTAACCCTAACCTCAAAAATGAATTGATTTACTCCCGTCGAAAAGAGGAGAAGACGGGTATAAGAACCCTCAGTCCAAATCTTTATCTTTCCAATATATAGGTGTCGGTAACAAACGGGGGAGGGGAGCAATAAACCTAAAAAGGGTACGCTGCATTTTCAATGCTTATACGATGTATATATCTTTCCAAAATAAGTGGGGGGGGGGCTTAGCCCCCCATCCCCTCCCCTGGCCCCTCGCCCAGTCTCGATGTCTATGTTATACTCCAAGCATTCATATAATTATGTATTTACCTAACTGGTATGACGTTGAAAACTTTCAATAATAAATGAGTTAATTAAAACAGATGAAAACAAGGAATTTTTCAGTACAGTAAAACGTATGAGAGAGAAAGAATTTTCATAGTTTTGTACAATCAAACTGGCCTCTTTTTATTATGATAAATGCTAAGTTGCTTGAAGCTGTCCTCTGTTAGTGCCCCCTATACACCTTTACATCTACTTATCAAAGACTAGAATAAAAAAAAAGAAGAAACGAATTAATTAACTTTAACAATGGTCACTCTTTTTTCAGGACCCTTTAATTTTCCCTTTTATTTTATCAAAACCTTAAATATTTAAAACGTCAATATCTCAGGTCCTACTGTAACTTTATCATGAAAAAGTTATCAAACCAGAATCTGTTTTTTATCATACCGATTATTTGAAGGAATATTGATCAATCTTTACATTTTTTTTCAAAGTGCGTTAATTATGGTCGATATTAATGCACTTTGAAAAAAAATTATTTTTTTCAAAGTGCGTTAGCTTGGTCCCAAATTTTAACGCACTTTGAAAAAATTTTTCAAAGTGCGTTGTAACAATGCTTTCCATATCTAATATTAGAATGGAAAGCAGAGTTTATATCACTTCAGTTCTATACATTAATTAGCACTTATTTTTTTCACATTTATTGAGTTTAATCTCTCATCTCATAAGATTTTTCTTCATGATCACTATCCCAGGCGCAACAGCTCTGATGAGGAGTCTGTGTAGGTCATGAAAGATTTTTTTTTTGTAATATGTAAAATGTATTTAAATTGTTAAAATATTAACATTTGCTGCTTTGAAACATTTTGATTAAAAATAAATAGAATTAAGGATTAATTAGCACAATAAAATAAACTTTTCTCCTATTTAAATGAAGGTAGTTTTTTACTACAAAATTAAAATAAATACAATGTACTGAGTAAAAAATATTTAAAAATTTAATTCATTTTATAGGAGTTATTGGTACCTGGAGTTATTGGTAAGATTTTTGAAACATTGATTAATATAAA